CCCTGTGGTAATTTCGCCCTCCACATTTAGTTGCCATTTTTATTATACTGTTTACTTACATTGACTATAATGATGAATTTGCCCTCCCGCCATTACGGGTGAAAAAGGCGAAAATTAAACTAGCGGAAATTTCCCTGTATACAGTATTCCATAAAACGGTTAACAATGTCATACAATTAGGATATTTTGTTTCATGTCTATGGAGCAATTGTGTACATGTGTTAACAACCATGAAATGATATTATATTAATATGGATGTGTTGATTATTTTCATTTTTTGAAAGTCATTAAAAGCAAAGTTAACAAGTACTTTATATATGTTAACATATTGTTTAATTGATTTTGATTTTACAAAAGATCTCATTTTTTTTGTAATCTAGGTTCTTGTGAGTATTCAAGATGGTGGCAGTCCTCCTAAGGTGGGTGACAATACTGCGACCATTACCATCAATGTAAATAGGAATAACTTCAGTCCCCAGTGGCAAAACCTACCGTACGAGAACATTGTACAGGAGGATGCAGGGATCAACGATGTTGTGTACACTGTACAAGCCACAGATGACGATTCTTTTTACAATATCGTTCGTTATCAAGTGATTGGTTTCGGAAGTGCACCAGTTTACTTTCAAGTGGGCGAAGCGAGTGGTGTTATAACTGTCAAATCTGCACTGGCAGGCAGCTCAGAAGAGGTGTTCTATGTAAGTATTATCTACCTGTCACTGTTGTATACATACCTGGCGAATATGTGGTTATATGGACCCGAGAAAGTATTTGTCCAGATCAGTAGCACTTTTCAGTTCCTGTAACACATACTCAATGAATAATGAAGATATCATGCTTTTATCCATTAACTAGATGACAATTAGGGAAATCGTTAAGTAAAAAATACTGCATTTGGCTAATAGACGTTAGAATTGAAATGATGTCATAAAGTAAATATTAACCTGATGTTTCTAAAAATAGTAACACCAAGTCAGTGTATCACAAATTACCTACCTCCATGTGATTTTGATTCTGCCTATGAAGATGTAGGGGAAAACGATACCATCTAATACTAGTCCTTCTGCCCTGTCATAATAAAACATGATCAACAACGTGGGTCTGTTTACAGGTACGAGTGCGGGCTTATGATAATGGAAGTCCTGTTAAAGAAAACACTACGACTTTAACCTTAAAAATCGAGCGCAACCTTTTCAATCCAACTGTGACGCAGGCGTCCATTACTCAGCGCATTCCATCAACACAAGACCTTGGCGTACCAATTGTTACAGTACCCGCTCAGGATCTTGACAGCCAGGTAATGTATGAAAATCGGAAGCAACAGTGAAATATAAATACATTTCAAGCATTTAAAATGGCATGGCGGACATACAAGGTTATGTGTCAGATTTTTTGATTTTATGTTTTGCAGGTAAGTTAGTGAAAGATATTTGAGATAACTTCTTTTTCAGTCCATAAGCACAATGCTGGTTGTACAACTAGCACCCCAACTTCAAAGTTGAGCATACTTCTCCCTTGGTTTTTGTTGTGGAAGGGCACACATACACATAAATAAAAATCACAGCAATATCTGGTTAAGTAATTTGATCAGTGCATTTATTTTGAATTTCAACATTCATACAATTTTCAAGGAAGGTTTTGTGTTGTATTTCTAGCCACCTAACAATGTGATCAGATACAACATGACTGCTACGGCTGCTGTACTTGAATTCTTCGATATTGATGTTGAGAGTGGTTCTATTTATGTGAAGAAATCTCTAGTTCTGGATACAGCCGAGACACCACAATTCACGGTAGAGTATAACATTTTTGTTGACCAAATATATATAAAATATTACTCAGGGTGCATTATAACCATCTCATGGATTTTATACAAAATTGTACTTCAGCTCTTATTATCTAACATTTTAGTTTTAAGTAAAACAATAAAAAATGATAAATATATATAAAAAAAAGAGAATAAAGCAAATAAAAATAGAATTGTGCATTAATGGGTTTTTTTCTGCTGTAGATGAGTGTTTCTGTTTATGACATGGGAACTGTGTCCAAGACGTCACTGTCTGCCACCAATGTCATCATCAATGTGTTTAGAAACCGGAATGCTCCATTCTTTGGGGCCCAAAATTATGCTGTGACTATTCCAGAGAATCGTCCTGTTGATAATAATATTCTTCCCATCACCTTCGGAGACAGTGATACAGATGTAAGTTCATGACCATGATACAAATGTAGGTCAAAGGCAGTGGTACAAATGTAAGTCGAAGACTGTGATACAGCTGTAGGTCAAGAACAGTGATATAAATTGTAGGTAAAGGACTGTAAAATAGATAATTATACATGTATAGCCAATGACAGGGAGACAAATGTAGGTCAAGGACAGGGTACAGATGTAGGTCAAGGACAGTGATCAGATGTAGGTCAAGGACAGTGATCAGATGTAGGTCAAGGACAGGGATACAA